GGTATCAAGTCAAATAAACTTTTTTTTTGCATAGCTCAGTGTCATAAATCACAAATTTGCCTCAAGGAGCTTTACAATCTGTACGATATATGACACCCTTTGTCCTCAGAATCTCAAATCAAATAAAGACACAATGAAAGAAGCCTCAGGAAAAGCAACATAGGAGGGATCCCTCTTCCAGGATTCATGCCTGCAATTGATGTTGTGTGTACAGAAAAAATAAACACAATGCAATAGATTTACAGTATAGACAATAAGAAAGGCAACATTTGTATATTGTAAACATATAGGAAGAACAGAGTATAAACAAATAAGAAAAACATGTTGCAGAAGGATGATCCAACTTTTAGGTGCCTTCAGCAAACCCAAGCAACACAACTTCCCTTCCAGACATGTAGACCTGGTACAAGGGCAGACAACACACAAACACACACAAGAGGGAAAACCCAAACACGTAATTCACATATATGAGGGAAGGAAACAAACACACATGTTAGAGAGAGAGAAAGGGACAAGGAAATGAACAGGATATTAACAAAATGAAGGGGAGAGGGACAAATAAAAGGCCAGGATTCCTGAAGGATGAAGATCTGGACAGGGATAAAAAAAATAAATAAAAAAAAAACAGAAAGGAGAGAGATCCCAGGATGGTCAGTGGTCCAGACCAGAAAAATTGTGTGACAGAGAGAACAAGCAGGAGAAAACACACACACATACACAGAAAGAGAGAGAGAGAGAGGCACACAGCTTTGACACTCAAGAGAACAAAGAGAGGGTTAGAGAGATGTAATGGTTTTCAAAAAGGTTTGCAGAAACCTCGTTGTCAGGACAACATACTGTACTGAACATACAGTAAATAGAATTAATAGCTACACCGAGACTGAAACCCATCTGTGGGAAAAATAGTGGGAAAAATCCAAGGCAAGAAATAATGAAGACTGTGCCACTAGTTGAAAGTTAGATGAATTTTAACTTTAGATTTAAATGCCTCTGCTGAATCAAACTGCCTGATGTCAGCTGGAAACCTACTCCAGAGGAAGGGGGCATGATAGGATGATAGGAGCGACAGGTCCTGAAAGCAGATTGAAAAGATTCAAAAGGACGTCTGATAATTATGTGGTCTGAAAGCTGCTGAAACACAACTCTTTCTAGCACTTTTGAAAATAATGGAAGCTTAGACACTGGTCAGTAATTATGGAGAGAATCTGGATGAAGATGTGGTTTCTTAAAGAAAGTGGGAACAGTGCCAGGTAACAAGACTGCTAAGTTAACAGTAGTTATTACGGGAAAATATTTGCAAAGACCAAAACATTATTACATCTATGTTCCAAGTACTATGGTCATAAAAATAACTTTTGAGCAGATCTTTTCCACATAAAAAATGAGCTAAAGGGCTTGTCATATTTCCAGTTTGAACTTCTTGGGCCATGCTGTCACTCATAGCTGAGAGGCACTGGAGGTTCCAGCCAACTGTACAGCTCACCACCAGCACTACTGCTGCCAAGCTGCCACAACTAAATCCACTGTCCTCTGTCTTACCCCAGGCAAAGGGATATGCCCCTGCATGTTAATACAACACTAACACGCCACCAAAGTTTGATGGAGAGCAGTACGCACAGAAACAAAAAAACCTCAACGTGCTTCAAAGCATTACCCAGTGATGATTTTGTAACCCCCCACCCCCACTAAATTAGGTTTTCCAGAAAATAAGTCTAAAACCACCACCACCGCCCCAACACCACTTGTACACACACACACACACAAAACCCTATTCACACTCCAGGGACACTGTCAGACATCTACATACCTTTAATAAGTGACAGCTGTAGGGTAAAGAATAGATCAAGAATAAAACTGCTGTGATATACTGGACTCTGCTAGGCGGCATATGAACATTATTCCTGAGCTGGTTAATGGGTTGGATGCTGTCAGGGGCCATTCTTCAGCTGAGTGTAGATGAGTGGATCATATTTGGCTCCACTGGGGCTCTCAGACACATCTCCCAGCTGTTTGATAGGGTCTTCTGTTAGGTATATAGCTAAAATGCTTTGAATGATTTATCGTGTCTTGCAATATACTCCAAACAGTAACAAAGAAGTTGATGCTTGTAGTTAAACTTGGTGCTGATTCTTATGCTTGTGGAATTTTCCAGCACTCTCTCAGATAAACAAATGTGTTGTCTCTTCAGGTGACCCAGAACAGGCCAGCTGGAATGCACCAGTGATCTGTACATGCGTGTGCATGTCTCCAGCAGAACCCCACTGGGACTGGCGAAGCATCAACCCAGGCGTATTGTCACTACTGTAAGATAAATTACTCTTTCTCTGCCCCATTTCACTTTTTCCAAGCCTCCTGGTTGGAGGGAATAGGTTGATGCCTCTTCCCCACAGAGGCAGTAAAAGACTCAGCTGTAGTAAAATATGGAGTGTCTGAGGAGTCGAATGCTCTGTGTGTGTCTGCAAGCAAACATGTGCTCCTACATATCCACTCAGCTGTGTACCAGATGATTCAGAATCCACAGTTTTCTTGTTAAGTGTCTCTACTTGGACAAGATAAGTTTTGCATGATGAAAAAAACAATGTGAGTAATTACATTCAAAGTTCTTTGAAATTCTCTCCAGTGATTCCATTTACGCATTACATATTTTACCCTATTTTTTTGAGTCTTGTATGAACATAAAAGTATTATATTTTAGATGTTTTGTCATCTCCTCAAATGCAGCTGCTCCTGCAATAACATTACAGATCCCTGAATTGAATTGAATTGAATGGGCCTGAACTGAACTGAGGTGAATGTGTTTGTGATAAATGTAGCTCTTGCCAAAAGATTTTGAACCAAAACTGAAACCGCTTTACTGAATAATAATCTCTACAAACACGCAATGTCAGTGTACCAAAGCAGTTTCAGCGCAATAAAAACATCGACCTGTATTCCCGCTCCCTCTTGCTCTGTCACTCATGTCAGTTTTTCCACTAAGTGTTGTGGTCTGGTACATTTTTGTTAGCTCAGTCCTTGTCATTCAGCATGTCTGAGAGCAAAAGGGTAGGGGGTGGGGGAGCTAGAGGGTGTTAGGGAGATGGGATTGTTATCTTCCATCAGGCTGATTGGGATGTTGGAACTGAAGAGCATTGGAAACAATCCCCTCAGCCACTGGAGGGTGCTCATCCTCTGCATAGAGTACAGTATGCCTTCAATGCCAAAGAACAATCCAATAAAGGTGCTTTGTGCTGGAAAGCTATTAAAGTGAGCCTCACTTCACTGAGACCCTGTGAAGACTTAATCATACTGTGTCTTGTATGATGTTAAATTTTCTTGCAGGGATATAGAAATGCACTAATTTGGAGGTGAATCCCATATTTTATCATTCCTCTGTCCTCAATCCTCGCTTGACCTGAAAGTTTTTCCAGCCTACCATGATGAAAGATGCCTCAAAACTCCTGTTTCTGCTCTCAGGAGCAAGGACCGAGGAGGCTACAAGTACATCCTTCACAGACGCCTGTTACAGATTGACATGCCCCTTTATCAGAAATAAGTTTGTGATTGGACACGTTGCATGAAATACTACAGGAAAGGATATCTCAAGTCCTTCTCTCCTCACATGTTTTCCTTGCATCCTTAACTTGCATCGTACTTAGGCAGGACTGAGACTCCAGGGCAAGATGCAAGTGAGGGAAATGTGGATGCAATGAAGGGAATTGCGCCTCACCTTCTGTCTCTCTTTGTGGCCTAGAGGGCTAAATGTGCTGCCAAAATGTATGTTATAATAATCCTTTACCGTACTTGATATGCGTGATATGGAATGCTGAGTATGGTATGGTGTGAGTTACGGTCAAGAGCAGGGACACAACAAGGTCTTAACTTTGAGTCTCCATCAGTCTAACAGGTACATTTCTCTTCTTTCATCTCAGCCACACACATATCCACAAAGTCAGCTCATATACATAGGTGTATCTTTAAAACAACAGTGATTCATTACACATGTTGTCAGGAGAGCACCTAAAACTGAATAGTATTCATACTCATCTCTCTGTGTTAATATATATATATACTGTATCACTTCTTTGACACAAACTGTGATGTGTGCCTTTGTGCATGGTTGTATTAAAAATATCCATCAGACAAAAGTGCCTGTTCTGTCAGCTGACATTATCAACACTAGAACTTCTAAATAATGTTCCCTTTGAGGCATCTCAAACAGTTTAGACTAAAGCCCATGAGCTCCCACAGCAGCAGCTGAATTGGCTACAGAGGTTAAGGTCAAAGCCCAAGTGAGACGCATGCTGACGGACCTCTGAACTTGGATCAAAGGTGACCAAAAGTGAAAACAAAGGCTTTTTTTTGTGTGAATTGATAGGTCTGGTCTATTTAGAACTGCAGCTTCATTGCTCTCGTGTCTATATAAGACATTGTGGTAATCAACAGATACTATTACAAACAGATGAAAAGTGTTAAATTTTTTTTACATTAATGGATGAATTTGTGCTTTTCTATTATTACCACCAGAGGGCAGTAGAGCAACATAGTTTATATTTTGTTGCAGGAATCAGTGGTGTTTAAAAATGATTAGTTATGTTAATTATTTCAGCTAATTAGATCATTAGGCCATTATTGATGCAAGTATACATTACTTGACTGGACAGGTAGGTGACAGTAACTCCACATTTAGCAGTTGTACCATTAAATGTGATCTGCACAGCAATGAATCTGTAGTTACAATACAAAAATATGACAAAAATGACATACATTAACATGAAATGTGCCATTCTACTTAAAAAGTATTTTACTTTTGATAGTTTTTATATATATATTGATGCTAATGCTTTTGTACTTTTACTTAAATAACATTTTTATGCAGCACTTTTACTAGTAACAGATTATTTTTACACTGTGGTAATACTATTTTTGCCTAAGTAAAGAATTTGACTACTTCTTCCACCACTGGAAGCAAGTCACAGTACATTACAATGGATTTAGCCAGCACTTTATGAAGAGACATTTATTAGTTCAGTAGAGTACATCATCATCATACCAGAAAGCAACAGCAGTACTTCATTTCTTCATTTTCACCATTTGTCCATGACAGATGACGTGAGGGTATATCCACCGAAAGCTCCACAACTCTGGTGCTCGCCTCATTAGTCTCAAATATCTTTCATGAGCTGTTCCTCATCTTTCTGTCATTGCTCCCCAAAGCTGATGAAACTTGCACTTGATGAAACAAGTTCGGCAAAACGGACTGATGTGTTGCAGTGCTCCACTGACATGGTTCATTTCTCTTAACTGGTCTGTGAGCGTTGTGATCCACAGTGAGATCCAGTTTGGGTCTTATTTATATCTTTTGTAAATACTTAACTCAGGATTTATCAGTTATACAGTTTAGAGTCCTAAAAGAAATAGTATGTACATCTTTGAAATAGTTACTATTATGTACTGCATTAGCAAACAACAGAGTAACATTGACAATATCCGACTAGTATACAATTGTTATAGCAAAATGGGAGCGCTTCAATAGTGTTCACATGCACTAGTACAGTGTCTTAGTTGTCAAACATAGACCATAACATTTATATTTACATATTGTTCACAGCTACATTCCAGGTTTGTGTTTGTGCATTGTTTAATAATGGATTGTTATCCCACCCCCCAACATTATTATTAATGTTACATGCACTGAAATAAAGTTGTTAAACTGCAAAGCCCATTAGAAATATAAATATGAGGCAACAAGTGTGGAAGGAAAATACAGTATTGATACTAGCTTATTGCTCAGCGCATCTGAGATGTAATGCATGAAATATTGACCAATATAATAAATATCTTCCAGTCTTTCTACAGTATTTTTGATAATACAGTCATTTTTAAAAATTGGTCCTGTAAATCTAAGCAATCAAACCAAAAAATAAATTGCAGGGGAAAAAAGTTGCACATCAAAAATATGTTCACATGTATTTTCACATAACTGTATATTAATAAATACACATGTAGTGGAAAATCTATACAAAGTGTAATTAAATCAACATGGAAGAACTCACTATGATATTTTGCGCACTCAGATGATGCAGTGGCAAACATCTCTACAAACAAACAAACAAAAAAAAGGTAAACACATCATATTGTAATAAAACAGGTCTTTGTTTGAGAAGCTTATCTAGGGCATCAACACAGACTAGTATAAAATCTCCTTGTTTACAACTGCTTTCAAAAGTCTTTTTCTTTAAATAAATGTCTATTTGGGGAAACAACATAAAGCAACACAGCAACTGCAAGCCATTCCCTTCAGTCAGAGATGTCATAGAATACAGTATTTACACATCTTAGCTACATAATTATATTTGCTGACCAACAACCTGTTGCTCCCAGTTTCTTGCAGTGCTTCAGCATTTTTCTCTTTCATGCTAACTGGTTTAATCACCCATAAGCCCCAAAAGTGACCAAATATCCCATACTGTGCTGTCCATGAGCTTTACTTATTTTGTGCTTGTAATTCCAGTGTTTTCAATACAGTCGCACCTCTTTTATTTCACAGTGGTGTAATTTTTACCGTAGGTATCTGCTTAGTTTCAGACTGACAAAGACGCCATCTAGTATACCATGAGACAAGGCCACTGACACGGCCATCTCAACATGGAGTCTATCATGTCTATAAGGTGGTATACAGTTTGTGTGCTGGTTAATGCTGCCCCTTGTAGTGCTCAGGCCACAGAAGCCAGCTGAGATAATATGCTTCAATGGTCTGGCTTGACACAATATCCTGTTTCCTGCAGTCTTCTGTACTGGTGTACTGTAAACATGGCTGCCCACGCACAGAACACACCTGCCAGCAGATCAGGGAAGTATTATCTTTTTTCCAGTTTAACCGTTTTTTATCCAGTATTTGTGGAAAAAATGTGTATATTGGCATGATATGCGAGTTAATCAGGGTTACAGAATGACAAATGGGTGTGGTTTTAGTTTTGATTGTTAAAACTCAAGATGTATGGGTCAGACACTGCGGGGAGCCCTCTCCAGTTCATGGGTCCTGCGGTTGCGTCCCTTCTGCCTCTCTTGCAGGTGTTTCCACTTGGCTGAAAGTTCTTGTGCATGCATGTGGGTGTGAGGATTTATCACAACCTTCTGCTGCTGCTGCTGCATTTGTGCTTGCTGCACCAGATGAGCTTTCTGCTTCCTGTGCTTCTTTTCTCTTTTCCAAACCTGCTCGCAAAATTCGTCCACACTGTTCAGAGTTGGATGATTGACCAAAGAGAGGAAGTCTCTGTACCACAGTTTGTGATTTGGAGTTTCTCGAGGTGAAGAAAGATCCAGGGCAGGGCCACTGGCAGCGACTTCTTCGTCATGATGTAGCAGATCCTCCAGGCGCTCTGTGTCAATGACTTCTAGGGTCACTTTCAGAAGTGTCTGCATGAAGCCGTGCTCCACCGCCTGGCAGAGATAGATCCCTGAATCCTTCTTCTCAAGTGTGCGAATCAGCAGGCCCTGGTCTGTTCGAATGTAACGTTCCTCTGATTTAATCTATAGTGAGAAAATTGGAAGCAAAAGAGACAGAGTGAAGGACACAGAGATAACAACAGAAAAGAAATGAGATTCAACATAAGCTATTATGATATAAGGTTTCCCAAAACTTTTTATCAGCTATCCCTCATGACTGTTTTAATAACAGAGAATTAATTCCAATTGGATCAAATGTGGCATTAAATACTAACAAAATATGATACTGGTTTATCTGAAATAATCTTTATTATAAAAAACCATCTATTGTTATTTTTCTGCTGTGGAGACACATTGTATTTGAGCATATTTGAACAAAATTGATTAAGTGTTTGATGAGGTGCCAACCTCTTGCTTGTGATCATCAGTGGAACGCTGATACTGCCAGTACGTCAGGGCTCTCAGAGACTTTGGACTGCACTCAAGGAAAGTGCTGCTGTTCTCCACACCATATACAGTTTTATCCAGGAGAGTTGTCTGCCCATTTAGCTCATCTGGAAATCGAAGAGTTTAGCCATACAGGTTTGTGAAAGTATATTATTTATAAATAGGAGACTCCCACCACAGAAGGAAATGGGCTGTGTACAATCTTGGTCAAAAGGTACAAGGTACAGTATTGTTGTCTGTAGTGTGTGATTATCAACATGTTACAATATTTTTTTTTGTCTCAGCACCTCCTTCTTTAATCATCACCTTTTGATAATAGTTATTTCGCTCTTTCCAGTTGGTATAAATGATATAAGTATAATTGAGGGAGAGTTCTTTTGGACTGAGCCCATTAACAGGGCAGTAGAGTGGAAGGCTTGGAGACACAAAAGAGGCTTGAAGGAATCCCGGCCATGTTAATTATAAGCTTCACATGGACCAACTCTAATCTTCACACCACCAGAAACACATAAAACACACAACACATACATTCAGCTGGCTTTTCTACCCTTTGATCACTTCACCAATGCCAGCAGCTGCACTGGGACTTTTTCTATGTTCAGAGTAGAACTACAGTAAATCCTCAACACAAAAGCTCCCTTTGTTGTTCAGCTGAAAACCATCATGCTCTGACTATTATTTACTTATATTTCATTTTCAAATTTAAAAAGTATATATTGTCAGAAAGAGCCATAATGTATAAATTAAATAACAACAATTTATTACACATTGCCATTATTATTATTGTATATGTTTGTAAAATGCTTTTCAAAAATTCTCACAATATCATTTATTATGTACCATGATGTTGTAGATCAGAACACTGTGTGAGTGGGTCTCCATTCCTGATATCTTGTCTCCTTGTTCTCCTGCGAAAAACACAAATACTGTATAATCAGTCAGCAGAGACGCCGGTTTCTTTGTGTGTGTGTGTGTGTGTGTGTGTGTGAGGGAGAATATGTGTGTACTGGGAGCTTGTGTGTGTAGGTGTATATTTGAATGTGGTTTAGCAATAGTAGAGGCCTATACAAACAGATACTGCATTGGCCGCCCATATTATCATAGAAAGGCTTAATTACAGGGTGTGTACCAAAGAGGTATTCAGATCTAATCAATCACTCCAGCTTGTCATCTCTCTGGGTTGCAGATGCAAAACAAATGTTTCACTCATAGTATCAAACATAACACTGAGGATATTTTCTGTAAACAGTAATTGAAAAAAACAAACAAAAAACTAGAGACCAAAGCAGAAAACTGGCAACTTCCCCCCTTCTGTGCTTTCTATTGTTCTAACCCAGCATTGGTGTGTTGGTAACTGGAGGTAAGAGCTTGCCTGGCAACCTTATCTCTGAATGCAGCACTACTGCTAGCAACCAGGACAGGATACTGTACAGCTAGCATTAAAATCAATAAGCCCTATGAAGCTATGAGTGGGAGGCTGCACACAAAGCAGTCACCTACAAACATATATAGATCATTCCACTACCACCAAACCTCTAGCGCCTACATCTCCCTGGTTCACCAAGGCATCCTTCAGACATTACTGACACTGGTTCTCATTTACAGTTAAACACATGAGGCAGGGTATATTTCTGGCTTTCTGGTAGAAATTCAACCCTATTCAAACATTTTGTCAAATATACAAAACCTGCACAATGGCCCTAGCCCCAGCCCGGAATTGCAGCCTGACTCCATATGCCCTCAATCTGTAAGTAAAAAGCCTTCTTCACATGTTTGACAAATTAAAATAAGAGTCAACATAAAGTGTCTTAGTAAGGCATTTGGCCACTATGTGCCATCAGAAGAGCTTCAGTGCACCTTGGCATTGATTCTCTGGATCTCTGCTAAAGGGATGAACCCCATTCTTCCAAGACATATCCCCTCTTGTGTTTTCATGATGTCATGATTCCTGCCAACTTTCTGATTTGGGCATTATTTTGAAGCCATCACGTCTTGTATCATTCACTGTTGACTCAGCTTTACCATGCCCCAATTATACTCAGCTGTTTCATATTTGCTCATCAGCCTACACTGTTTAAAAGCCTGTCCTTAGTATTGCCATCAAGTATAAAAGGTCCCTTTGTTGTTTAGCTGAAAACTGTCAGGCTCTGATTGTTATTTACTTACATTTCATTTTCTATTTTGACTAGGTGGATTACATTTAATTCATCTCTGTTCCAGTTTCTCCCAGATTCTTCTATGTTTGTTATAGATTTTACTTTCTAGGTTGTGCTTCTGTAATTTGTTTAGCCTAGTTCAGTTTAGTCTTGTATGTAGTGCCGGTTTCATGCCTTTTTGGTGTTTATATTTTACCCTGTTTCAGTGTTCTACCTTATGCCCTCAGCCTCATGTTTTTTTTTTCTGATTTGCCTCCAAATTTGTTTAATAAACTTGTCAACTTTTACCCTGATTTTCTACTTAGTGATTTAAATTTTCAATCCCTCTATTATCTGAACCTTGACATGTGGTGGTGGTGGAAAGTGATGTCTGACACGCCGGCCTAAAAGCTATAAGTGTTCAACTGAGATCTGGCGACTGCAAAGGCCATAGCATATGATTCACATCATTTTCATACTCATCAAAGCAGTGAACCCTTTCGTTCTATGGACGGGATACTGTGATCGTGGAAAAGAAGTCGGCGATCAGATCACTGATTCAACATTGCGCAGCATAAAAACAAAGTCACGTTTAGCATTGCTTCAGCTGGTGTTGATAGACCAAGTAAAACTGGAGATATGATAAAATAAACCTAAGGTATTGTGGCGACCCTGACCGGCCGCTGATGTTCATGTGTTCTGTTGTGTGCGAATGGGTTTGACAATGTTATTGAAGGCTGTTCATGTATTGGTTACCGCTGTTTTCTGCAAAATGCCGCGCTGTTCTGGCCAATGTGGGATGGGGGGAGGAACAGGTGCGGGAGGAGATAAGAGGGATGACAGGTGGGCGTGTTGTTTAGATTCTGTTGGCGCGGGACACGGGATGCCCCGAGGGAATGTTGTTACTGTTTTCAGTTTGCTATTTCATTTTCTCCTGTGAGCACACGGTGCCAGGTAAATCACAGTTATTTTGCATTCTCTATTCTGCTCAATAAAACCCAAGAAAAGACAAAGAAGGTGTTCTCCTCACTGTCAGCATAGGTTCCAGCGCATAGCTGGATAGTTAGTTGTCCCAGTAAAGGACAGGGTCGGGCAGCTCCACTCAACCGAGCTAGCGGTCGTCACAGTATAAATGATATTTGCACATGCATAAAATTATGCGTAAACATGCGCTAAACGAGACGGGGCCTGCTTTGCATTTATTGTAATATCTTCGTCTTTTTGTGGTATGTAGAAACGGAAGAAATGTGCGAATTTACCTGAGGTGGGCGCGGATCACCTGATTGGCGAAGCGCGCGAAGTACTGCGGAAGTTGAAGAGGTTGGTTAGACGGAAAAGCGCAGGCAGAGAGATATTTTTCTACGAGTTTTGGAGTATTTCGGAGGTGTTTGGAGGTGAAATTGCCCTCCCCTTCTCCCCTTTATTTATTTATTTTAAGAGAGAGAGAACATGAGGTGCGTGCTGAATGTTGAGCGAGCTCTGGATTTGTTTTATCAAATCCAAGACGAACCGATTTTCAGCTCGTCGTTGGAGCCGTCACAGGTGTGACACCAAATTCTATGACCCATCGATTTCTGTGACCACAGGAGGCGCTGTTGTCACTTTTCAGATTTTAACTCTACGAAACAGGCATTTCCGGTACGCAAACAGCGTAAGGGCAGCCAGGCGGCCGCCCGTGCACGTTGCAGTGAGCTACACGCTTGTATATGAGCAGTTTCTTCCTGTAATAACCCTGTTTTTCACCGCCGCAGCAGCACTCACATACGAGCGTGTAGCTCGCATTAATGTGTACAGGCGGCCGCCTGGGTGGCCCTGATGGGTCACAGAATTTGGTGTCACACTGGAGAGTGAGGTGAGTTCAAATTCTTCTCAATATCTATTGGTTTTGTTTTAGCCTGCTGTAAATTGTCTTTTATGTGTGTATAGGAATGCATAAACAAAGTTTCTTATGTGTATATTTGTGTGCGTGTATATACTGTACACCTAACCTACCTGAAGATACAGTAGGCCTACCCAGAGGGAATGTGGAAGGACTACTTAGACCAAATTTTTGGTGTAAAAATTTATATATTTTGTTTTTGTTTCCATTTAACCTTTAGATACTCACAACCTAGAAATGCAAGACCCATAATAAAACTATTTTACAAGGCCTATACTGTGTAACACTGTATGTATATGAAAAATGTAATTTTGTGTTAATTTGTGCCACTTGAAATGTACCTTTTATTTCCATGAAATGCATCTTATATCTGTGATACTTGCAGTGTGTTTCTATTGGAGAATGTGTTGATTTATTCAGAGCATGCTTCGAATTCAGTGTCTATAACTGGCTAGATGTATTATCTGTTTTATGAAGACTCATAATGCATTGCAGGCAAACTTTAAATCCTGCTCACTGTGTTTGATTTGCTGCCTAGTTGCCATGCACAGAATATTTAACAGCTTGTAAAACACAATGGCTACATGATAAGTATTAATGTGGAGTATGCATTCTGTACCTCTTAGCCATGGGAAAGTATCTGGAGCACTCGGTGCCATCCCATGCACAGTAAGGGTCCCTTGCCAGGCAGCATTCAGCACAAGCCTTGCCGTAAACCTCGCATCGATGCAAAGACATTTGCGACACACCAATGTCTGAGCCCAGGTACAGCTGTTGCTGTGTATATAGAGAAAAATATTTAGTGTTTAAAGCCAAATAATTCCCATCTTAGGAGCCACAATCTTGGCTGAGAGTCTGGATGGGTGGTGTACTTTGAGTAATTTACCTACAGTATGTGTGGTGCAGCTTACCTTTGTCAGTGAAGCAAAAAAAATTAAGTCTGGAATGTGGACAGACCATCTTACTATGGGTGATGAGCATCCTCCTCCTACCTGTCAGTTAGCTGTCTCATTTAGTATCTCCCTGTCATTTTAATTGATGAGCTAACTATTATTGAAAAGCCAACAATTGAGATCTTTGTGATAACAGTTCAGTTCATCCCAGCATGTTTCAAATGTGCAGAGAAGGCTGTCTTTGTTTTGTTTCAGCCCTGCAGCAATATGTGTCACCTGGAAAATCTCCCACTCAGATACAGATGTTTCACACAAATGCATGTAAAAACAGTGATCACTTAGCACATTTTTCATTTGTTTGTCCTCACTGAAACCTAGAAGGGCTATCTACTGCCTCCACGGCACACATGTACTGCACTTATGTTCTTTCTCAAAATTGTCTTGATATAAGCTTGAGGTCTTTGACTATAGTGCTTTGTTCTGCTATGTGTTGATATAGTTTCATATTACTTTATGAAATAAGAAGTGCAATCAGTACCTGTTTTGTTGAAAGTTCCATGGCAGTAATGGCTGTTGGCTCCTGTAAAAATAAAAATAGCAAAAATCTATAATGAGACACCTAAGGGCTTTTTCAGACTCCACGCTGTGCAAAGAGGGTTTGGCGCATAGTGCAAGTATTATTTTACACATTTCCAGTAGTGGCTCTAATGCTGCATTTATGTACATCCAGATGAGAAAAAAAATAACATACTCTGAATACAGTCATTTCTTCCAGTAGGACTTCCTCCAGGTCATGCCAGGAGCCTCTGGGGATGGATACCACTTTCAGAATTGTCCCCATGTCTGGCACACAGTGGAACCAACGGTCTTGAATTAATATCAAACCTGTACTATATTCTCATTTCTATATTTCAATCATTGAATCGCTATTACAGTTTTTCAGTTTATTGTATACTGTATGGGTAAATGTCTTATAGTCTATATAACTGTATACCTGTGCCTATGAACATGACATCATACTGGCCATCTTCTGCTTCTACTTTATCGACCACTATCTGAGTGAACTGGTAGTCCACATCTGTTTTGACTATGATTGGTCGATTGTTAATAGGGTAAATGGGGTTGAACATAGCTGGGTGGCTTCTGGCAAAGGTCACCACCTCATCAGGAAGATCCTTGGTCGTATCAAATCCTCCAAATGTTTTGCTTGGGCACTGTAGCAAAAAGAAAGACACTGGCTGTGACAGTTGTACTGTAAGGCACAAATTACAATGAGATCTTCTTGAAAATCCCAGTTCATCACACACTAATAATCCAGCCATACTATACTCACTGTGCCAGGTCGTGGGTAGGGAACGCGTCCCTGGAACGGGACCCACTGGTAGTTGGGCCCATCTCTGTGAGCATAAGGACCCAGAAACACTCTCCTGATGTCAGTCATGCTGTACATACACACAGCTGAACCTTTGAAGATGTTACTAATGGGCAGAGAAAATGAGTCGCATAAGGAAAAGGCAGGTTCTTACAGAAAGCACAAGTTATGCAATCAGTGATAATGACCAAAACCCTTATTTTCAGAAACAGTACCTGGAAGTGGTGAATACTCCATAGATGATTGGACTCTTGGGATCCTTTGAGCTCATGAGAAAAACATCCTCTGAAGACAACCAAAAACATGAGGTACTATATATTACAGACAGATCCTTCCCAGAGAATGTCATCTTTATGAAACATATTTTAAGTTGAGGAAGCAATCACTCACGTAATTCATCAAAGTGAGTATCTATTCCATTACTGCCGGGCACAGAGCAAACAAGTCGAGCCTTCAGGAAGGTGGTCCACTTATTTACCAGACTCCTGTGGCCTCCCAAGTCATTCTGTTAGACAGACCACAGTCAGAGCTTCAGTAGGAAAGTTTATTTATTTGAAAATTAAAGGAATATTGCTCTATGTTGTGTAAAATAAAATATTAGCTGCATAACGTTAATGAAGCACTTGCATTGCTTAATTTTATATGTGAATGAACTGTGAATACTCTCTATTCTTCACTATCCTGTGGTTGAATGTGGCGAGATGATGTTTTGCTGGTTGGATGTAGAACATGACAACTGCTTATCCCCTGCCACTGATGCTGTTATTTACCCCCCACACACCGTCATTTTAATGGTGATATGAAATTGCCCATGGTAAACGACTGGTTACAGACGTAGCAATAGTAATTTGTGTTTCTAGAGGCAGACGTACAGTAGCAATAGTAATTTGTGTTTCTAGAGTACTGTATGTTGCAGTACATGTAACGTGTACTTCACATTATGGTGTTTGTGCTGATTCATAAAAACCTATCCCAAAGAGTGTTGATTTATAACGGCAAATTACACTGTGTCAAAATATGCATAGGCCCAAATTAATTAATATTGCATCTTGCATAAAGGATGACCTGTCTTGTTTTGAAGATAGCACAGTGTCAAAATATCCATAGGCCCAAATTAATTAAAATTGCATCTTGCATAAAGAATGACCTGTCTTGTTTTGAAGATAGCACATTCCTGGCATTCTGTTATGAGGGAGACACAAAATGCAGTTAAACCTGAGGTTGAGGCTGGACACCACTCACTGATCAGCAGTTTGCTTGGCAAATTACTGCTTAATAAATAAGAGTAGGGTTATGGAAAGTGAAAGTTGGTACAAGGCCAGGGATTTAACAAATCCATTCTCTGGAGCTGGAGCTTGTAGGGGGCCCAGTCAGTGCCGAAGCCTGGCATAACAGTGCTACCGCTGACAACATCTTAGCCTCTGGTGACATTTAAGAATTCTTTCAGGTTTCTGTCTTCAGGGGAAGTGGTACCACTGACAACAAAGCCTGCTCTTCTCTAAGCTAAAAATAATCATGGATAACGGCTTCTTAAAGCTGCCATTATGAAGGCCCTGTCAAGTGTTTTCCCAGGTACAGACGCTATTTCACATAATGTCGTCGTGAGAGTGAGTGTGTCATTGCCTTTTACATTTTGCCTGTGTTTTGTAGCAGCCCAAATATGTATTAATGTGTGTACGCCTACTTTGCAGAGCTGTCCAATGCGAGCATGTGTGGCCTTCCCAGCATGCTCTCCATCCAGAGCATTCTCTCTGAAGAACAGGTAGATTTTATCATCTTCTGGGTTGTCACTCTCAGGAATTAGATGAACCCCGACAAATCTGGGATCTGCAACGCATACAGAAACATGCTTTTAAGATAAATTAATTAGCTTAGTAACAAGGCTAAGATTGTTTTATACACCTGCATGTGTAATGTGCTCTTTGTGCTTTGTTTTTAATAGAAATTAGGCTGCAAAATTTTGAACCACTTGTAAACAAGCTGAAACTCCTTGTGAAGACATAAGGCATGGATTCACTTCTCAACCCTTTCAAAAGATAAAATGTTTCTTTATATGAGCAGAAAATCGAGATAAGAGTAAAATCTAACACCTGGATGCTAATATAAACAGCTGCAGGGATGTTTGAGCACTTGCAAACAGAAAAGGCACAGCTGTCCAACAGTTTTGAACAAAAAACTCTTGCTGCTATAGGCTCTATTTTATTATAAAGCCTCTTCCGGCTCTTTCAAACCAGGAACTCACAAAGACGAAGTAAACCACTTGGATTTTATAAAAAATAACCGTGCTGGTTTATTCAGAGGATCACAGGTAAAATTAACATTACACGTCCAGATCTCTCCCACCACCAAACCTGCGTGCAGGCAGCATGGAGATGAAAGACCCTGAACCCAAAAACCTATACAATTTTAATCACTTGGTTGGGATAGCCCATTCTACCCAGGCACGTCAAACCGTGACGTCACCTGATATGCCAGCTTGCAGCTGACCAATCATCCCTGCCTGCAGCCTTTGTCTGATTTAATTAACCTTGGCCTAGATGCAGTCTGCAAGCACATCAGAATAACTAAGCATTTAACAGCCTGAGCTAGACATCCTGTCTCCACTAAACATTTCTAGACAACAAATCTTTAAATATCTATCTGACTAAGAAATTACCTACCCTGCTTTGAGGGGTGTGTGTGTTAAACAGTGTTTAGCACTACAGTGCCTAGTGAGGACCCATGGTCAAGTGTATTCATGTTGAGGTCAGATTTCAGCATAAATACACCTAAAATTTGAGTCAGCTTGCAAAAACAAAGGCTTCTGGAGCCAATTTGCAAGTACTATATTTTTGGAATTATTCATGAGTAAAAGTTGGTAAATGATTTCCTTTTTCTCCTCACCATTTAGCCACCTGGAGTCATGTTGCTCCGTCCTGATTGGGTGGTGCTTGCCAAGAGTACGAAAAATGGCAAAATCTCGCCCCATGAAGTCGGCTGAGGTTCCAGCATAAAGTTCTCCATCTGAGAGTACAAGGAATACATTGTGTTGGGATAGTAACACTGGTTAACAGTCTGCAGTGGTGTTTCCCAGGTCATGTTGGTATATTTACCATACAGGTAGACTTGGAGCCCTGAGAGAACATCAGGGGTGTGAAATTGGCATTAACACAGTAGGCAGGGCTGAGAACATGAGGAGGGACAGATGAGGAGGGACAGGACAGAGGTGTGAGACAGGGGGAGTACATAATAATGCTGGTGTGAGGGGAAAGAGAAAGGGGAGAGGAGATGAGGAGTGATGGGCTGGAAAATGGCCATCTGCTATGTTAAACTGCATGATATAACACAATGTGACTGGCAATAATTGGGGGTAGAGAGGAAAGACGTACTCACACAGACACATTTTAGTTGGTAGAAATGTGGCATTTGGTGCAAAGAAAACTCCAATAAAGTGTCATCTGCCAAGCACGCCCAGCAATTAAAAGGGGTATATTCAGATTTAAATAGAGTTTATGGCCCTGCCAATGAGGGGTTCTCTGTGTGTAAATACAAACTATAGAGCAGATCTACTTGTAATGAATGACAGCAGTGCCCACTTCTGCTATTCACATTTACTTTGCACCCTATATATCTACTGAAATGAAAGAGCAAGGCAGAGGGTGTTTTCAGGACTCCTGTGTTTACATATATGACCTCTAACGCATAGAAGAGCAGCACTGTACATCTGGTCTTTAACTCACCAATTAGCATGGAGGCAGTGAGCAACCTGGGATCGTATGGGCTCTTCCCTCGGCCGTTTTCAGTGTGAGGCTCCAGTCTGAACACACTGTCCTAAACACAGATAGACAGAAAGCTGCAGGAGTTGTAGTGTACTCGCAGACACAGTGCTTCACATTATTCTCTTGCTTGGAAGATGAAATTATTACGAGGAAATAGTTACTTCAGTATGAGTACATTTTTTGGGAAACCCATTTTGATGTCAGCACTTCTTAAAATCTAGGCTGTGATGAAGCCATTCTATTTTATGAAAAATAGCATTATGACCCATAAAATTGTTTGTAAAATTTTATTCCAAATCAAATGCCACATGTTTCATAATGAACCACAGACACATGATGCAAATTTCTTTTAAAAAGCAGATTATGAAAATAATGATTTTGTTAAACTAAAAATATAGTATGTTTAAAAACGTTAAGCAGACATCTGAGAGAATTCATGAGACTGGTGCAGTCTAGCACATTCCTGCCAGCACTTATTACAGGAAAGCACTCAGAAAAAAAATCTAATGGTTTTATGACTTGGTGGCCACAACACCAAATCCCATCAGGTGAATTACATTTCAGGGTTATGATCTATATAAAGCAAATAGCTTTTTGCATATAAATTAATTCCCTCTAATTGCCTGTAAATAGCCATCTAATGAATAGGAAACACATTTATATGTCTGACTCAGTGACATTTGGAGGTGAAGAGAGCAATTTCTTTCTCGCATACTCAAATGAACACACACATACAGCAGTTCCATAGAGTGATGAATTGGAAATACTGCAGACTATGAACATACTGTGTCTAATTTTCCACCTCATTTTGCTGAATGAACCAATCTTTTTGTTTTTTTTTACTTAGCAAATCATTTATTAGAAAGCAAATGTGCTCAAACAGGTCATTTACGACTTTGATTTCTCAAACTTTAATATAGTAAACTCAGTATAATATTTATATCTCAGTGCAAACATACTGTTCATTATTGTGTTTGAGCGCAAGTGGAGGCAGTAATGGAAATGCCACTGTACCTCTGGCTTCTTGCCCACTTCCAGGTAAGAACATACAGGATGAAAGGCTCCTGTCCCACACACATAGAGATGGGTCTGGTTGAATGGCTGCAACACCTTGATGAAATTTGAGCACTCCCTCTGATGTAGCAGAAACAGAGCAGACGATTCATGATGAGCAATCAAACCTGGATGTAAAGACATTTCAAATCCACAATTTTGCCTTTTCTGACAGTAGCCATTAGTGCCAAGCTTGTTGTAATAGCACCCACATTTTGGTCTGTATAAAAGTGGCAGAACAGCTGGATGGCTAAACAGGTCAGACATCACTGGGGGCACAGGTTACAAAGTAAAAATGCAGAGCAAGGTTTACTGTAATGTACTATATCTTTACAGAGAATGCGAATGCCTGACCGCAAATAAAACCAAAGGTGTCATTACATGTTCACAACAGAAATACAGAAAGAATTGTACCACCAGATATGCGTGACCAAGTTCACTAGGTTTTAGTAGGTCATCAGCATCTGTTTATGACAAGTGTTGTTATTTGCGCAGCTCCCTGTTCCTCCCTGAAGTTACTGTATATGGCCTGTGTGGGTACCAGTAGGTTCATCTGAGTAATGGACATCATTGCTACAAGCAATTCTTTGCATTGTGGTATCTGTTATACCTTTTGAATATTCAGCGTGACGAGTCAAAGATGAGACGAGATGAGTCCACCATGTCAGTACCTTCCAGCATTATAAGTAGGATGCAGATTTATTTAAAATAACAATCACACTTACAATTCAGTAAACAAATGCTATTCACATGGCTTGTTACAAAAACATTGCAGTCGCTATGCAATAGCTACAGCATTCTTTGTTCTCCTGTGGATAGACCATCACACATTTCACACTCAGCTATTTCCTTATTTCCAGAAGTGTTTGCTTACACTATACCTGGGAGCTCTCCTTTTATCTCTCCCCCCACCTCCCTTTAATTCTCACTCTCCTCTGACTCTATAACAGAAAGACCACCCCTCAGGGAACCTTATTCATCTATGTCACAGTGTTTACAGAAATAACAGAAGGGGCTTCATGGAGCTTCAAATTAGCCACACAGAAAGGTAGAAGGGCAGGAGAGTTTTTCCTGTTCTGTGCCCTGTTCAAAACCCAGGCAAGCACAGCACTGCCATGATTTTACTTCCCAGCCTATTGCCTTAGGTTGAGTTGAAGATAGAATTCATAACACAACTTCCAGGGAGCAGCAGTGTGTTTTCACTGAGTTTCACCACAGCTCACAAGCTGCTGTAAAACTGCACTTAGCCAGATACAGGGAGATGTGATGCTTGGTTTGTCATGCAAGGGTTGAGTGAGGCAAGGAGTCTGAAAAAGCCTCCTTACAGTAACACCTTTGTTTCACATCCAGCTGTAACTTGAGCTCACAAAGTTAGACTAGATTCGATTCAACTTTATTGTCATTACCCATGTACAAGTACAAGGCAATGGAATGCAGTTTAGCATCTAACCAGAAGTGTGCAGTATCTACAGTCTGTACAGTCAGAACTAATTTACCGATAGATATGTACAATTGATATTTACAGTAAGATACTGTATGTAGGGTAATGTACAATGTACAACAGTCTATGGATTCAGAATACAACTAATGGACAGGGTACATTAAGCTTATGGAACACAAGTGCAATGGGATGAGATGGAATGAAACAGTGCAGAATAAGAAGATAAGTTACATGAGTGAACAGTTCAACGGAGGTAAATAATGCTGAGGTAAAGATAAATATACAATATCAGCATATGAACAGTGTGCAAATAAATACAGAGCAGTATTCTGTGAGTAGAGTATGTGCAAATGAACAGATCACTTCAGTGTTACAGGTAACAGAAATGTATTGCAATAGTCCCGGGAGGAGTCTAGTATTGTGAAGATGATGGAGTTTGAGACATAAGTCCTAATAGTCAGACCAGCACCAATAATGCAATAAGACAAATCAATCTTTATATACTGCAAAATAGAAATATGTCTTTTATTTTGATCAGTTTTAATTAGCTCCTTGAGTTTAGTCTTAAAATATGTGAAAAGAAGGGAGATTTACATGAAAAAAATAACAGGAGCAAGAATGTCTATCATTCCCGAAAATGCGACTGCTGTTATTGTTCATGCAACACTGTTTTACCAGTAGGTCTAGCAGAAAGCACGGTGACTTCCCAGGCTTCACTCTATTAAATGGCGTGCCCTGAGGCTTGATAAGTGATCCAGGTCAAAAGATGGTCACAGTCTATGGTGAACTATGTGGTGTATTGTCCATATAACAGATGGGCTATGTCTGCACACTGGTATAAACAAGCTGAAAGATTACAAATCCCATGTAAACTCGGTGCAGCTACATGTGCAAAATGTGGGGTTTATTTTCAGACCTGCAGAGCAGCTGTATAGTACAAGAGAGCATATACATTTGGGGGAGTGGAGGGGCAAAATCCTGACACCCACTCGCAAGATGGATGGTTTTAGTTCTTACCGAGAGATCTTTTCCTGCCCACTTGCATTCATCTCTTCTGGTGAGAGAAGCTGGCCAAGGGATCTGTAACACAAACACAGTTCTTGTGGTTGTTAGAAAACAGTCACCTCCTCTTTGAATCAGTTTCACAAAGCGAGTCAATAGAGTTACAGCTTGTGTATATACACGTATGAAGGTCAAAGGGGTCACAGTGCTATTTGTTATCCAGTTTGTTTCATTTGACTCCATTATTCAGCCAGGTGTGCCTAGAGCAGCTAACATGCCTGGTACAGCGTGTGATTGTGTGTGACAATCCTGGTCTGAAATATTCATGAAGCACTCTTCTGCAGAAACAAAAAGAGTCCCATGATACCTGATCTCCTGACTGGTGCGCTGAATGGAGATACACACTCAAAGTAGGTATTAAGTTAGTCAGAAATGCAAACAGACTTACAGTCATGAATGGATGAAACCAGACAGACTGACTGAAAATCACACATTTGTTTTACCTGTGCATAGTCTTTACTGATGTTGAGGAGGTTAAAGGAGAAGATGTGGTCCTTGGCTCCAACCACAAGTCTTCCTTTCTCCTCATCTAACAGGAAGGTGTGGTAAGCCGAACTGTTGGCCAGGCCTTCGAACGTCACAAGGTTTTTAGATTCCAACATGTCTGCAGAGAAAAATAGCAAAAAAGGAAACGCATAACAGTAAATCAGAGTAACAGTAAAAAGCATAAAAGGTGAAGAAAATAGAAGGCTCTTATTTATTCTATTTGTTTTGTTTGGGGTTGTTTGGAGGACAGAGCTTTTGAGAAAGCTTTCAATATTTCCAACCACCTAGAATGTCTGTGACCACAAGTTACCATCTGCATCTAATAGTCTCAGTTGTAATCCATTGATCTGTCCCTTATGGGCACATTGAATAAATTACAAAATGTTACACTGGGTTATCCTGCATATATCTTTGATTTTTATTTTTCCCTAAATGTTGTTGTCTGCCTATTACAATTTGTTCTCAGGACTGGAAATTGTACAGCTTGGCCAAGCAAGGCAACTGACAGATAGTGAAGACCCACTGCCAAGCAAAATTGGGCTGGGCAGGTAATGCCAGCACTGGGAGCCAATGTTCAAACTGTCTGCATGGGGAAATGACCTTGAAAAGAGCAGCCAAGCAGAATTTGGTACACTCACAGTGGAAAACTCAGAGGAATATATAATGTCATATTATTCTGTTAGTATTTCATAGTCCAAACTGCAGATTTATGCTAAACCACATCTGCTATTAGGACACATTACTGTGGGCTACAGCTCACGTTTTGCAGTGTAATGGAACGTTCTGCCAAGTCTAGCAAAACAGCGACATTTGCTTTCACAGTGGAAAGCTGAACTTGTCTCAAATAGCCACTGAAGATCTCATTACCACAACCTCTAAAAATGGCATTATATCCATGGCATTATAACACCTTTTGTGGAACATCCAAACACATACACACACAGTCATTCTCTGTCCTTCTCACACTTTGTTCTGACCCACAAAGTCTAACCACACTTTGACCCCCTCCTGTTGGCTATCGACACAAAAGATTGGACACATAGGATAACTGGTCTCTCTCTCTCTCTCTCTCTCTCTCTCTCTCTTTCTTTCTTGCTGTGCTTCTTGGGGAGTAAATAACAAACTCACTCATGAATGTTTTAGCAGGGAGAATGCCCCCTCTCTGAAGTGTGTCAGAGCCCAAGAGAGTGAGAAGATGCAACCCAAAGCACAGCTGGTTTAAAAAAAAAAAAAAAAAGAAGAGCAGACATCACACTAATTGCTTTTACTTATAAACTCTCTCATATTAATAAGAGTTATGTATCATGAAAGTTGATTATCTCAGCTCAGTGTTTAGAAATTCAGATGTGTTTTTATAAATGTGTTTTATTGATAGAGAGCCAGAGATGCTTTTGTCTCTTGTAAAAGTGTTACTCAAGAGAGCAGGTAAAAATCTTTTGAGAAATAGTAGAAGTGGCAAGAGTAGTAAAAGCTGTAGAAGCTAATTAAGAAAACAATGCGGCGGTGGACATTTTTCTATTCATCTGTCATAAAAACATCATCCTAACAGCATCATGGGTTAATAGTATAAAAGCATATTTGCAAGTATGATAGAAATACTAATGCTGTTTTATATTAAAATGATTTTGAAGGTTATGGGTATACATTTTATGACGCCAGCATGCTGGTAATAAAAATCATTAGCAGGAATTGAAAAAAATAGAAAGTGGTATGAGAAACACAAAAGACAAAACAAACAAACAAAAAACCCAAACAAAAAAGTTTCCTCTCACTATACTTAACAGCAATAATAAATAGAAGAAAAGAAAAACTCGATTACAGCTATCAAACCATGTCATAAGCCAGGATATTACAGTGCCTTAAACAGTCACCAATGGTGCCAATCTAATATGTAAAGTATGGAAATGCAATGTATGAGTCACAGTTCATGAAATGCTTCCAGATAGTTAAAGTATTAGCGTTTTCATGTATCTGATTTTTGATGTGATTAAACATATGGAAGGTTTTGCTTGAGTTGGGCTATAGTTGCTTAATTGCATTTTATTTGATAAATTAATTTGGAGTACAAGTAATTTTATTAAGGGATTATTGAGCTCCATATAATACACCACCACTGTCCTAAGAAGGGAAAGAAGCTCAAGGTCATAAAAAAAACTTGCTGTAAATAATTGTATTGCTCAGCCCAGTCCAGAGCAGTGTCCCAGATTTATGCTCCTCGGTGATCAATCATTAGTGGATCCACTATAAGCCCTTCAGTGACAGCACAATAACCCCCAGTTGCCTCCTCTGACCTTTTTTCACCTACAGCAACATTACATGTGTGTCTGTGGTTTCTTCCTGTTATCTGACATACAGTACCTACACACACACACACACAAATGCATACTGCTGAGTCACCTGGAAAGCAAAGAAAAAATTGGTCCTTAAAATAAAGCAGTGTGGGCAATTTGTGTGTAACCTGTATATCTAAAGGAAAGAAATAATCGCCTACAAAATCATACATTGTTTTATGAACAGCAAGGTGTCAAAATTGTACGGGTGGTGCCTCACTTCTTTTCAAACCACACCCCATGTTAGAGAATGGAGAACAACATCACCACCACATACTGGTACCATACATACACACACATCTCTGGTTTGTGAAACTCATCTATGGGAATAGTGTCCGTGGCAACAAACCATTCAACAGTGGCTACTACAAAGTTATTAAAAGCTAATCATCCAGAGACAGATACTCTGTGGGTATTGTGTGTGGATCTGTGTATGTACATGTGTTTACAGAGCAGGCTGTGTTATTGGAAAGAACCAAGATTTTTCCAAGCCACGCCAGAGGCAGTAGCCTATACATGTCTGAACTGGTGTCTCCTCTAGTCAATAACACTAATAATAATGTTTTAAAGTCTGCTGTGAACATGTTTTGTTAAATTCAGTGTCCAGAAGATATAGACACTTTCATGCAGACAGACAGGTGGATGGGAAAATGTGTGGCCTGTAACAGGTGTCCACAGCTGCCCTGCCATAATTTACTCATTTTCTCTCTTACCCTGCAATTGGTAGTCCTGTCAGGAATCCTGCAAAGGTGCAGAGTAAGATAGACATGGAAAATGAGAAAGAAGGCAAGAGCAGTAAGGAGGCAGATGGAATAGATACAAAGAAACAACAGCCCCATGTGAGAGTGATAAAAATAAACTCCTTTACCCTACATTCTGTGTCTTTCTCAATTGGAGGCCACAGAGAATGTTATCTAAGTGCTACCTAAGAAAAAGTAGCGACATGTGGCTGCACTGTATAAGGGCACACTGATGCTTGGCCCATCCCTCGGTAACTTCATTGACATTCATCCTTCAAATGGCTGAGTGTATGATTGCACGCTGACTAAAGACAACATATCACTGCATCACTGGTATGAGTCACCCAAGCCTGAGGGAAAACACCACAAAGCTTATTCAGTCACACAATTTGTTTGGCATCAAGCAAAAATGCAGGCAAATGCTTCCGCAAACTCTTTAGCATATTGTTTTGGAAGATGTTCTGCAAATTAGCCTGGTTGAGGTGATAGCTGTGATTTTACAGAAGATGAAAGGGTTAACACACAATTTATTTTTCAAGCAATAAAGTTGGTGTCAGCGACCCAGTAGCTAGGAGCGCTGGAGATTCTGTAAGCAGATTGTGATTTTCTTTCTTAGAGCATCTTACTTTGCATCAGGCTCAAATCAAATGACCAAAATCTGAGAGCTACTGGAGAAACAAGTCAAACAAAAAACTGAATGTTACCATACAAATCTTGAACATGCCTTCAGTTGCAAAAGAGCAGATGACTCAGAACCCAAAAAAGCTTCCAAACATCCAGTTTGCTGAACGTACAGGATGCCTTTGCATGGCTGTTCAAAGCTGTTCAGTTTACTGTATACTGTACACACCCCAAGAAACCCAACTCCAACCATGAAGATTGTTAAAATGCTTATGTGTTAATTATGAGAACTTCTTTATTCTCCAGCTCTGATTAAATTTCTGATTTCAGTTCTTGGCTCTTTATTCTTCTTGGTATTCAAGAGTAAGAATTTAGTTGTGCTGCTGTGAATGTATTGGCTTGTGTGTGTGGACGCTTGTGTGCAAGCTCTTGGCTCTGCTCAGAAAAGGGGCTGAAAGGTCAGAGAGAAGTACTTTTGGCAGTACACCCATAAATCTAAAGTACCCACTTTTTCCCTTCCCTGGACCACAAACAACATATGGTGTATTTCTTTTGGCCCATAAACTTGTAAACTGTAATGGTATCTGTTTACTCCCCAGAGGATCCTTTTACATCCAGACTATGAATCCATCTCATATCACTGTATGCCCAAGTATAATGTATGTGAAACAACTCCATTTATGGTCCTGCAGTGCACTGTAGATCCATAGCCTCCTACTACCTCATCATCACCCAGTCACTTAGTTGTTGATACAGTTGGACCTTAGCTCATGTTTAGGTAGCCATGGGGTACCACTGTTATTTTTCCCCCTACTCCAATGGCCTTCTGCCCCTCGACCCTCACTTTCAAAGATCTGCTAGAATCTCCTGGGGTTGAGCGGGGAGGTTGTGTGCCTCTGTGGGTATATATATATATATGTGTATGTGTGCTGTTTGGTGGTGGTGGTTGGTAAGGGAAGTTGGTATGTATTCTTCAGAGAGCCTGATTGTGTTCACTGAGGGACTCATACTGTGGAGGAGCAGGCTGCTGTTCAGGTTCATGCTTTCAAGATAAACACATCCCTGCTGTGTTCATATGAACTGAGTCTTCAAGAGAGTCAAAAACATATAGAAGTGTGCAGAGGCCTGTACCCGCACAGACACGTTAATTTGGTCACACACATACAGTATTTCGCCAGTATTCCTATGACCTGTAGGGGTCAGAGTTCCTTCACCTCAATGTCATGTGTCATTGATTAGATTTCCCTCCCTCAGGACTGGACAACTTCTCAGGCTGTGTAAGTAGTACTGCTCTGTATTTCACCACAGTGGATCAGCTTATTTCCTGCCCTCCATAAGTAAATCACAACAGTAACAAATAATTTATATGACGATATAAATTATTCAGAATGTGATAATCACTGCCATCGACGGTAGATAAGGCTTGTTGTTTGTATATGAATAATATGTATTTACGCCAAATTGTAAGCATGAAAATTATATGTGCTCGCTGTCTTCTAGCTAGAACCCCTCAGCGAGAGATGGTGCCAAATGTTGTCACCCTCCAGCCAAAATGCAAATGAGGTCTAATGGAAATATTGAATGTGGAGACAGCAGGCAAATAACCAGGATGGCCAGGCTGCTACCTGACATAAAGCTACATGGGAGTGTTTCACCAAACTGACAGCAAGTGCTTTTAAATGACTGATACAATCACAAGTAGCATTAGCTGTATGGCCATGTATATGAATGTGCGTGTGTGTATGTGACTATGTACATGCTTGTGTGTATAATTATGAAGCTCCCAGAGCTGAACGGGAAACATTTCTCTTTGGGAAAGCCATCTGCTAAAACAGACCAGCACCATTCATCCTGAGTATAATTACCATGCAGGAAAGAACGAAGCAGAAAAATGACATCCAGGGGGAAAAAAGGCAGAGAGGGATAAATGATGCTCAACTGCCAGGGAGTTTATGTCTGGCAGCACTTTTTATCGCAAAATCGACAACAGCAGTTGATCAAAATAGTGACAGAGACACAGGAAGAGAGTGTGCATCAGAGACAGAGGATAGAGAAGCAGTAGACAGGAACATTTTAGTTATTTTCCTAAATACAAATAAACTGCTCATTTTTAGTATAACAGTATAAATATTGAATTGCTCCCATTAATTCCTATTTTTTAATCCCAGCTAATAATTTTTAGTGAACCAATACAGTACCATATTTAATGTGGACACAAGATTTCCATTAAAACAACATATGGTTTGTAATTGTTTATAAAAACTATATGTGGAAAAGTTATCTGCATGACTGAATGAACATTAAATGGGAACATGCCTTAATGGTCTGCAGATGATTACCTGACTGAAATCATATCCAAATGATATGCATTACTCTGTCACACAACCAGCGCATACACCTGAAAAGTCATTAATCTTGACAAGCCATGTAAAAAATGAATTTATTTGTTTCACCTCAGTTTAGTTAGTTTGCATTTCTACAGGTAATCTCTTCATAAGGATATATAAGATCTGGCAGTTACAACAACTTTAGTAGACTTTTCTAGTAATTGCTTCATTAGCATAGCATGCTGTATGTGATTTAGGAATTTAAATGTACAGGATTAAGGTGTAAGGTTTTGGGGCATACCTCAGGCTCTACTTCAGACAAAGTAATGAAGAGTTGCATCATTTAGAGGTTTATGAAGTGCTTACCTTTATAGGAGAGTTTTAGTCGAGGGACATTGTTCTTGGTCTGTTGGACTCTGCTGCCCTCCGTGCTGAGTAGAACCACCCCACACAGCAGCATAATGCTGCCCCAGAGAGAGCCCATGGTCCTGGGGCAAGAAAAGCCAGTGAGGTGCTTTAAAAACACGACTCCAGGGCCGTCACTCTCAGACCTACAATGGTGCAAGAAATGCTGGTAAAAAAATAAATAAACAGTCCGATTGTCCAGTGATTATGAATAAATACAGTCCAGACTGGTTCTCACCCTTTGATAAATCAGAAACTCTTTTCTGCTCCAGGGGTCAAAAGTCAAAATTAGGGTTCAACTCCAGGGTCAATATTACTGTAAGTGAGCCTCCCACACTAGTACGTCCAAGGAAAACTGACCCAAACTAAGCACAAATAAGAGATCTTCACCATATTAAATGTTTTGAAAAGTGGTAAAGTCTGGGTATGACTGCCATATTTTTCAGTCCTGATACCTAACCAGCGTGCAGCTCTGCCTAAACAGCCGTCCACGTTATCGCTGAGTCTCTACCTTTAGCTAAAGACAGAAAAGACAGGTCCAATTTGTTACATCTGTTAATCCAGTCTGCTTGCACAATCTGCACTGTCTCTCTCTGTCCTCCGATTTTTTTCCTATCTGCCCCTCTCTCTCTTCTTAACACTGATGTGGACTACTTCAGCCACACTCAGCGCAGCTCTGCCCTGTCCCCACAGCACAAGACACACGGTGCAAGTGAGAACAGCTGAGGCAGACAGCACAGTCAGAGTGTGTGAGCGAGAGAGAACGTGAGAGAGTGGGAGAGAGAGAAGGACGGAGAAGAGAGTGCAGTGTAGGCGGGAGAAAGGGTGAAAGAGAGCATAGAAAGCATGAGAGAAAAGAAAACTGTGAAAGTAAAAGTAGTAGGAGAGGAAAGGTTAGGACAAGGCAAAAGGTTAAAAAGAGCGTGAAAACAGGAAAACAGTGGAACAAAAACGTGGAACATCTTGCGGAAACTCTTTCTGAGTTAGGATCCTAGGTTGCTTTAGGGGTCGTTTGTTTTGGAGATAAATTTTTTGGATAGAGTTACTTTTTTTTTTATTTGGTGTTATGACTTTTATCACTTCATTGTACAAAATGTCTTTCACACCTTTTAATGCAGTTTTACAGTTTTTATACATTATATAGGTGTGATTAATCACTTCAATCCCCTGTGTTATGGCCATCTTGTATTGTTTTGTTTCATTTTTGCCATAAATGTATTATATTCTTACATCAACTCAAAACGGTCAGTGTGTTATGTGGTTAAGATCTATCAGGAAATGAATGATTCTATTAGATATGCACTCTACCGAGTGAAGAAGCCAGAAGCTGCACAGAGACTATACAATTTGCAAGATTTTTAACGGGCTCCTTTATAGTGTAAAAATATCAGCAGCCTATCTCACATGAGGACTACCTGTCAGGTGGTGGCACCGTTTAATTTTTAGCAACCACGTGGGTAATGTTTTTAGAATGAAGCTGTTTTCAAGCTTGATTTTATTTTCCAGCTAAAGAGTCTGCCTTTTGCATTAAGGTGTGACAAATCTCAACATGTGGAAAAACAAATCCACATTTTTCATAAAAACAGTGATCCAAAAATGATTACAAGGCCAGATTAGCATCACTTTAGCATAAAGGCAAATTGACTGGGCATTTATTGGCTATTCCATTATAGTCTGAAGGGGAGTTCCATGTTTTTTCTCTTAAACCATTCCAAATGAACTGTCAGTCTCATTCTAAACAGCAGACTCTCAGTGAGCTTAGTCCTGCTCCTGGTGAATGATAATGACTTTAGTTGCAATGGTGTGGTTAAGACCTGAAAACAGCCTGTATCTATCTGGATAAATAGCCATCAGACAGTGGGAGGAGAGCTGAACTAATCCTGTAGTGAGTGGATGGGGCCCACGGTTATGCTAATGTAAACGAGTATTTAGGGGTTCCAGGGAGAACACTGGAGGAACAAATGTCACACAACAGTCTCCGCGTCCCAAACAGACTGGATTAGTGGCTGCAACAGACAGATCCTTTTCTTTTTTTATTTGGGACTGGTAGTGTTGATGTACCAGTTCATAATTTCAAGGATCATGTAGCACAATCTGCCATAACAAAGGCCAGATGGACAGGTGGTTTGAGGTGAATTAGGAATGGCCCATTTGAAAATATAACTCCACACTTTTCTATGAGTGTTGATGATAACTGCAAAGTTTTTTCATGCATTTGATGTCTACATTAAGTGTTATGTGGCTCACTGTATCTATAGCTTATTTTATAACATCAGTAATGCTGCTCTTAGTTTGAAGCACTGTCACTTCTGTGTCTGTTTGATTCCTATCAGAAATGCATAGGCATAGGCAGACTAGAAATTTGGCAAGTTTGTGACTTCTAATAAAAGAGGAACACATCCTTGACTATGTGTGACCTCCCTCACAAAGAAAAAAGGTTGGTGGTGAGAATGTTCTAGTTTGTGACACAGGAGAGGTATTGAAAGCTTCCAACTCAAGAGTTTTCCACTTTTGCACACAACCCCAATGAACACTGCTAATTCACATCTTATCCAAACCTATGCATTCTGTGCTCGCTCTTTAACATTTTAGCTTGATCACGTTCATTTCTCTATTTCAGCCTTGTTCTTTATTAATGCTCAAATTTTTCAAATGCCTGGAAACAAATGTTTTGTGTGTTACAGCACTTTGCAAACATAGTGTAGAGTTTCCTTGAGCTTTACAGTTCTATAAAATTGTTAAATCTAATCTTTTGCTTCTAACCTAATAGCCTAGCTATGGCTTAAAAATATACTGAATAACACTGGTCTAATAAAAGAGGAACACATCCTTGACTATGTGTGGCTTTTTACAGAGTTCAAAGGGAGTTGTGTGTTTCAAGGAGAATGCCCCTTTCTGAAGCATCAATTCAGCCTCATGGTCTAAACTCTTCTATTCACTAAGGCAGAGGGCCCAAAGTACTCTGGCTGTCTTAGAGTTCATCAACTCATATGTGAGAGTGCAGTTGGGGAAGGGGGACTTATTTAAATCGTAGAGCCAGGGCATGTCTGGAAGTGGGGCTGATGAGGGATGTGGCATAGGGACATGAGTGAAGGAGATCTGCCGATACTCACTGAAAGCTGGAGCCCCCATCAAGGTTCGCTCATACTTCCTTAAACAATACTGTCTGCACCTTGCCACCCCCCACACCCTCAACACACACACACACACACACACACAAATACACCCCCAAGCCTCAGATCTCGCCACACACAAGCTGTTTTCCTCTTCTGCCTCTCTCTAAGCATCACCTCCCCCTACTCCACAACAGTACAAACACAAACCCTCCAGCTGCACCTTCATCACTTTCTCCATTCCTCTGTTTCATCCTCTCTGACCTCCACCTACTCTCCACAAGCCAGGGAACATAATCTCCTAAATGAGAGGATTTGGATCAGTACAAAATGAACCTCAAGCCCAAGACAAGCAAATTAACCACACTTGCCAGCCACCTACACCTTACAATACCAGCCTGCATCGTTCACCCCTGAATCCACCATTCCAGCTGTAGTTAGGATTATCTTATGAGAGGCAGCAGTGAGTGATTAGAATAGCTAGCATGCAAGAAAAAGTAAGCTGTCTGCCAAAAGTGCATGGACAGAGCATGACATAACATTGTCAAGTATGGAATAGCATGTTGAGAATGGTTTTTAAAAGTGATTCGTCAAGGAATTTAAATTTCATCCACTTCAGTTCCTCTGAGCAGAGTAAATTACCAAAAGAGAATTAAAATACCATTGTATGACATTTCATTGTCATGCCTGACACAAGAAAAGATGTATAATACAGTGATGCATTTTGCCTCACTGCCATGGATATTGGGTTGCTGCCTATGACAGGACTGATGTATTGGCATTGTGGTTATTATGGACATAAAACACATGCACACACATGCAAATATGATGTGATGGAAGCCAGCTGTGTGAACCCAGCAGGTATGATGGAAAAAGAGAAAGGCTTTCTTCTCTCCTCTCCTTGGGAGCCACTTGGATCAGCTCAAGTCTTTAGCAACTTACCCAAGGGACATGGGAGCGACAATATACAAGAGAAACACAGCAGCTACAGTAATATGACTACTGCTAAACACTAGTAGTACTATATAGAGCCCCAGTTAGGACAGACAAAAATCATACAGTATTTGAGAGTATGTTCCATGAAACAAAGTGTGGCAAAACTCTCCTGTTCCGACTTTTCTACTGTATGTTAGCAGACTGGAGAGTATGGCATAAATAGAGTATACTATGCACAATGTATGATATTTGATTATGTCATGAAACCAGCCACACAGTGTTAGTGTAATGCAGTAACTTTTGTTTGCCTTCTTTTTAGGAGAATAGAGTGCAGGGTTAACTGAAGTAGAATGGTAGCGTTTCTGATTTTTGCTCAATATTTCAGCAGTGTGGACTCATTGCAGGATACGACTTTATATCTAAAGTTCCAGGTTCCTTAGTGAAGATGAGCAACACAACTTGGCAAACACATTTAATTTTCCCGACCGAGTTTTCTATGCTTGGCCTTCTAGAAATCTCTTTGTATGGGCTTCTGCAGTTCTGATAAATCAGCTTCTGTTCTAAACTGCATTTTTTCCCAAATGGGCATTTATGGTTGGGAGATACAAATCAGACTTAGGGTGAAGCTTATGTCATGCACCATGTTTGTCTTCATAACTGATTAATGTATTAACTGGAGAATGATATTAGTGCTAATTTCTTCCTTAGGAAGAAACCATCACACTTGCCCTATGCACCTGTAGGACCTTTTCAAATATCCTTTCATAAACTGAGTTAGGAAACTGTAAAATATTCTTCTTACTGAATGGCCTGCTGATGATTATCTGCACTGATGGCACACAAAAATATGTTTGTTCTAAAAAAAAAACACTTGCAGACACATTTTAGACATACACGTGACTTTGTAATTCTTTTCCAGAACAGTCAGAAATTCAACTTTATCACACCAAAGCAAGTCCCTTACTGTGCTATAAATAGGAAGTGTAGAGTAAATATTTTTTGTAGTCAGGATGTAACAAATGAGACCTACACAACCAAACCTGAAACACAGTCTGAATGTTCTGGAAACTCGCTTCATGCTGTTATGGCTTCATCATTAAATCCAAATTGTCTATTTTACAAGGTTTGTAAAACTGCTGCAGTTTTGAATATTTACAATAAAAAAAGTAATAAATCACCTGAGAATAGAACACACTTGCAAAGTTGATGTGTCAGACAGAATCTTGCTTTTCATTTTCCATTACCAAGGAAAAGCTTGGGTGGGGTAAAGATCAGGAGAATGAGTTAGTGTGCTTTGATTGCTTTGTTAGTGCATGTTCGTGTGTATCTATGGTGAAGGGTGGAGACAGATGAAGTGAAACTTATCACTGATGCTGTTTATTGATTCAGCTTAAAGTGGCAGCAGTCTAGTCTTTCTCTACTCTATAACAAACTGAACTGACACAATCATACACTTCACTTTCTGTCTCTCTCTCTGTTACACAC